AGTTTATACAGAAGCCTTAACTGGGTTCAGTCCTGTATTCAGTCCAGATGGTCTCAACAACACCTTCCTGTCCCAAGACCCACCTGTCAGGTCAGCTGGCCATCACATCCTCTTGATGACCTCCTCCAACAGCATCCTATGGGCTTTGACATATGTTTAATGACATGTGACCATCATTGTAGTATCATGCAGAGTAATTTCACTGCCCTAAACACCCTCTGTGCTCTGCCTATTCATCCCTCTCCCTCAATATATATATATATATATATATATATATATATATATATATATATATATATATATATATATATTTAATAGCAAGGGAAAAGACACCAAAAGCAAAGGAAAAAGACAAATGAAAAACCAGGGGAAATATTTTCAGTGTATGTCACAGAAGGATTATTATCCCTCATACATAATGAGCTACTAATGATAGAAAAAATAAAGACCAAAAATCATATGTCGAGGGGCACAGGGGAGGACTAGAGAATTGGACAGCATACAGAAAAACAAAATAAAAATGGTTCTTCGCCATAATAGAAGACAATTCCATTCTTCATAAGAGAATGAATGCGAATTAAAACCATAGTGAGATACTGTTTCTCACCTGTGAGATTGCCAACAACCCAAAAGTTTGACAAGATACTTTGTTAGGTCAGATTATGGCAAAAACAGTCATTTTTCTACGTTGCCAATGACAATGAAAACCGGTGCTGCACAGAAGGAGGACAATGTGACAATAGCAATATTGTGTTGCCATTACCCTTTGATCCAGCCTCACTTCTAGGAATCCATCCAAAGATACACTGAAAAAAAAAAATATATATATATATATATATAAAGACTTTACACCAGAAATCTTTCTCATTGCTTTCTGGAGCCACAGAGAAAAGATCACTCCCCTGTTGGTGAACGTCTGTGTCGCTTGCAATCTTTTGTTGTCCCAAATGACAGAATGAATGCCGAAAGAATTGTCTGTATCGATGCAGTGTTATAAAGGAAGGACAGCAGGATGGGCAGAGCATCCATAGTTCAATGTCTCCAAGCAACGGAGGATGCAATAGGAATTTTTAAAATCCACTTAAAGTAAAAAAAGAGTGTAAATCATGAAACTAAACACAAAATTATAGGGCAAGAAAGGGAATAGAGCAGAGGAGACAGAATCGAATCAGACTTCTTGGAATAGAGTTTGCTTTTGAGATAGGACTTCAGAACTTTATAAATATTTTACAAACGTATAAGATGAAATTAGCTTTAAAAGGAAGTCTTTAAAATA